CAGCAAGAGGGGATGGGACTGAAAACAGGGCCGCTACAATAGTGGTAAAAATGTATCCAGAAGCCAGCTCAGGGACAGCCTGGTGGGTGACCTGGGGCCATCTGCAATCAGTCTGGAAAATATCCCTGTCCTGAATTGAGACCAGATAAATTAAGGCAATGAGTCTATGGAGGTAGGTGCTTCCTGTGGAGGCTAGCACCCTTCAGAGCCCGTTCAGGAGTCTTCCTGTCCTAGCCATGGGCACTACAGCCTCTCTGCATTTGCAGGTGGCTCCAGATGCCTGGCAAGTCATTCTCCTCCTGCTCCTTGTTTAACACCTCCAAGATCCTGCCTGGTGTCTCTACACCCCTCCGTATATGTGTGTATGTGTGTGTGTGCCTGTGTCTATGTGTGTGTGTGTATATCTATGTGTCTATGTACCTGTGTCTCTGTGTGTGTCTCTGTGTGTCTCTCTGTGAGTGTGCGCATGTGTCTTTGTGTGTGCGTCTCTGTGTCTCTGTGTGTATGTGTGTGCGTGTGTGTGTCTCTGTGTGTGTGTCTGTCTGTGTATGTGTGTCTGTGCATATATGGGTATGTGTCTGTGTATCTGTATATGTGTGTCTGTGTGTATCTGTGTGTGTCTGTGTGTCTGTATGTGTGTGTCTGTGTGTGTATGTGTGTTTCTGTGTGCGTCTGTCTGTGTGTCTCTGTGTATCTGTGTGTGTCTGTGTGTGTATCTGTGTCTGTGTGTGTTTATGTGTGTGTCTGTCTGTGTCTGTGTGTGCGCGCGCACATGTGTGTTTCTCAACTGGTTGTAAGACTTGAGTTGCAGAAGTTCCACAAATCAGGGAATGTCAGGAAGCTCTTTCCTGTTACTAATGAGAGTGATGCTCACTGCACACATGCCAAGTGCCCTGCCGTCACTGATATGTCATTCTCTGGCCCCTGCCCAGGAGCTACAACCACTGTGGTCCCTTGCCGTCACTCTGCGAACCTTTGCACTGCCAAATGCCTCCGGCTACTGCACTTGTCCCCAGCCTTGTAGGTGGTTCTGGGCCACCTGATGACATCACACGCACTCGAATCTCCATGCCCGTCTTGATTGCTCCTCTGCCTTCTCCATCCATATCCTGCCCTGCCTGCCCTGCGGCTGCCCTTAGAACCGACAAACCTTTGCCCACCAAGCACAGTTGCTTCTCTTTAGGTCCAGCCCCGGTACTCTCTCCCCAGAGTGACAGCCATAGCTCTTTTCTGGTCCCTCACCAACTAGTCCTCTAATTGGCTTTCAACTCCCACGGCCCATGTTGATGATGCTTCTAAAATGCAGGTTTGATCATACCACCCTGCAGCTCAGTTAATACCCGTCGCAGGCGACCTTTGCCCTCTGGATCGCAAGCTTCCATTCCTCCTTCCCCAGCCGAGACTCTCACCTGTTAGTCCTCCCTCCCCATCTCTGCCCAACCTTCAGATCCAGTTTCAGCTCTGCATCCCAAGCTGAGGTCTGGAGAGGGGCTGGTGATATTAAGGGAGACAGGATGGCTTTTGAGTGAAGATATAAGGGCCCAGGAGCTTCATGAATGAGGAAACTTTGGAGCTATGACCTCTAGGGTATTATGATATTCATGGCTAGGAGGGGCTGGAGGCTGTCCTGAGAATTGTGGAAATAAATACCATGAGAAATAGACCGTTAAGGAAGTGTAGAGCCAGCACCCAGATCTGGGTCTTGTTAGTCTGGTCTTACACACTACTTAAATGAACAAATATTGTAATCTGTATCTGACAGTAAGCGTGGTGTGATTGGGATCTGACTTAATCCTAGAATAGCCCCAAGTGCCACTGAACAGATGTGAAATTGGTTGTGGGATACTTAAGTAGCTTTACTCAACTTGGGCTTCAAATAAAAGCTAAATCTATTATTAAGCCCTGACCTCTGGGACTACAAAAGGTCCTAGAAATTAAGACCTGATTATTTCTAGATGGAGAGAGAGCTGGGCACAGGTGGGCGGAATAAGAATGGTGATGGAGGAGAGGAGGCTGGGCTGGGGCCAGGAAGGGAGGCAGGAGGAGGGCAGAAGGGGAGGGAGATATGAAGAGGACACTGCCTCCTTCTCGGTAGCACTCGGGATGATCTTCAGTAGCTCCCAGAACTTTATCCTAATCCACCTAGGAGGGCCTGAGAGCCTAGGGTGGATGCAGCCATCAGAACCTCCAAGGACTGTGGAATAGCCAACTCTTCTCATAACCACAGCACCCAAAAAGCCCATCAGAAGCTTCACGATGTAATGAAATGTAGGCTTTTACAAGCGTGCAACTCTCAAATCTTGAATCTCAGAAACGTGATATTGTGGATTCATAGACTATACAGGAAACCTCTGGAGACCATAGCCTACCCCTGTATATCTTTCAAATAGGGAAACTGACGCTCAGAAAAGGTGGGACATTTCTGAGTGTCACCTCGTGTGTTTGCAGCTTCAGGAGCAAGCACTTGTGCCAAGAGCCTTGTACAGGAGCCGGTGCCGGTGCCAGGGTCAGTGGAACCAGAATGGCTGTGCTTGGCAGTTCACATGGCCTTGGGCACGCACCTCCCTAGAGGAAGAGCACTCCAGGCACCTTAGAGGGCATGGTAGGGTGGAGTCTGTGGCCACCAAAGGCCTCCTGCCAGGCCCCCCACAGGCTCAGCTTCTGCCAGGCCTGTTGGTGGCAGGGAGGAGCCCTTACTGAGTGGCTCCTGCCCTCACACTCTGAGTGGGCAGGGATGGGAAGGCGTGCCAACTGGCGCAGAAGCCCAGGGCTTTAGGACTGCCCCAAGAAAGGTAGGACACAGTTTCTTCAGCAACTGACTGAGACCTAAGGTAGTCACGGTGTTGCAATTACCCCTCCCTTGTGGGGGGAGGGGACTGAGAAAGAAAGACATTATTCACTCCACAGAGAGTCAGACTGGCTCTAGCCAGCACCCCAGCTGGGCCTGTGTTCCACCCTCTGCCAGGGAAAGCTGGGAGATAAACATAGCTCATTTGATACGGGCAAGACAAGCCAGCCGGGAGTTGCTGGCTCTGGGGGATAGGACCTGCTGTCTAGTGCCACCCTTTATAGTGGGTTGGTGGGAACAGGTAGGGAAGAAGCTAAGCTATATGTTCCTAAGGTCCTTTGTGACCCACCGCGGAGGAGGCTAAGTGGTATATACATTCCTAAGGTCCTTTGTGACCCACCGAGGAGGAGGCTAAGTGGTATATACATTCCTAAGGTCCTTTGTGACCCACCGGGGAGGAGGCTAAGTGTATATTCCTAAGGTACCCTGTGGCCCCCACAATGAGAAAGCTAAGCTAATATTACAGCAATTAATTCTCACACAATGTTTAGGAAATTGTTGACTTATTTTTCACACAGGGTCTGCTGTATCCCAGGTTGGCCTCAGACGCACACGTAGTTGAGGATGGCCCTGAACTCCTTATCTTCCTTCCCCACCTTCAGAGTGCTGGAGCTACAGGCCTCTGCTGCCTTGCACTGTGTACCCTGGGCGAGCGCCCTACCAACTGAGCTATGTCACCAGCTCCCACTAAGTAACACATAAAACAGCACAGAGAATAAATGCAGGTTTCTTTCTCGATGTTTCAATACGGAGGCACTAAGCTCTAGCTGGACCTCCCCATGTCTTCTGAAAAGAAGAGCCCAAGTCATGGAGGTTTCCTATGCCAATATTCCTTTGGGACTGAAGAGCCCCAGGTGGCTGTATGGTTGGGAGCTGGCAGAGACAGGGCAAGAGACACAGTGGGCCCGGGTAGCCATATTGAAATGGGATGCCTGATCCTGGGCCAGCCAGGGGGTAGGGAGAATGTGAGGGTGACAATGGTTGGTTAGAAATGAAAGGAGAGTGGAGGCTTTAGCAGAGCAGAGGCATAGGAGAGGCCGCTAGCCCATCTCAAACACAAGCCAGTATTTCAGTCATTCTGAGAAACAACCCACGTACCCATTAGCAATGGATACACAGACAGCTAGGACGTCAAGTCAAGGTGGCTCAGGGAAGAAACAAAGATAATCTTTGTCTCGGTGTGTGCATGTGTGCGTGTGCAGATGTGTATGCGTGGATGTGGAGGTCAGAGGTCGACATAGGTGTCTCCCTAGATCGCTCCCCCTTATGTATTGAGTCAGGATCTGTCGCTTGAGCCCAGCGCTTGCTGGTTCGACTAGTGGGGTGTCTTCTAGTCTAGCCAGTCAGATTTCTCCAAGGGTTCCCTGTCCTCTGCCTCCCCAACACTAGGATTCCAGGTAGGCTACCACACTTCAGGACATTCGACATGGGTGCTGATGATATGAACACAGTCCTCACATCTGTGAAGCCAGCTTTTCCTCACTAAACCATCCCCTTGGCTCACAAAGGTCTCTCTCTCTCTCTCTCTCTCTCTCTATATATAT